TATCGTTAAGTCATTATAACGAGCCGAAAATCGTTATAATACGATAGAGATTGCCCTACTGGTTACAATGTTTGAAAAAAAATTGGCAGTACTGCTTTTTTTCAGGCTCGAAAACTTCTTAAAATACGGCTTTTTGCACTTTTTTCTTCATATTCAATGAATTCCAGGCCTTAAATATGCCTACCCATTTTGGTTCCTTATTTTTTCTCAAATTTACAACATAAAATCAAACAGCAGATATTTTTGTTTCCTCCTACTTCGCCGGTAACAAAATTTACAGGGTAACAGTGAGCTCAGAATTCGAAATGGTAACAAAATTTACTGAATGATAAATTTTAATACCTAAGTAAATTTTGTTACGACGGCAGAATGGGCATATATATTACCAATTCATTTCAAGATCTTGTTAATTTATACTAAAATCTTTCATTTTCCATGCGTTTTCAAATGGAACAAACAAGCGAACCCGAAAACTGTCAAAATACGCAAAACTGATCGTAATTAATTGAAAATGTGAAAGATTTCATGTCCATGTCGATGAACGAATTATAAGAAGGCAATTAAGGGAACTTGCAAATTTGTTTTCGCCTGATACGTTTGATCAGCGTATACTTGAAATAAAACGTTGAGAAAAATTTCAAATTATAGTAAAATTTATGTTTGTATACTTTCTTCCACGTTTTGATATCCATAACTGGTGGACCGAGCATTTGCTCTGACCTGTGCACAGCTTGGCAAAAGGTTATTTTTTGCTAAATTTGGATGTGTCCGCATGAATTCAGCGATGAACTCCTTTTGTACCTCGTTAATTTTATTTGCATATTTCCTAAAGTAATGTTTTTTTATTAGATCAACAATATTTTTAAAAATATTACTAACATTTTTATTGCTTGTTTGTTTAAGAAAACAATTTTGTAATCGAATGACAGTTCTTAATGAAAAACTCCTTAACGTATGGAATTTCGGACGCATCATACGAGTACACGTTCACGTATGGCGTAATGCCGAATACTTAAATTTACGCGACAACTTATACGTACACGGAACGATCGATGCGACCCCAGCATGTACCGAAATTGAGAGAGTAAGATGTTTTACTCTCCGAAAGAAAGATATTAACTGAGGTTTCAATGAATGGATTCAGTAAAAATTAGCCAGCAAGTTGTATGACAGCTGTTAATTTTGGGCAGTTAATTTTAAACTCGTTCATTTATACGGTTTATTATTTCTGGTTTTAAATATTTTCCTAAGTGTTTAAATAAAATTGGCAATTATGTTGAAATACAATAAATTTTTAATACAATTAGTTACTCAAAAAAAAAAATATATATATATATCCTCTAAAACGAGGAGGATAGATGTAGAACTTACTTTACAACAATTTGTCGCTCATATTTTTAGTAAGGATGATTAAAATTCGAAAATGAGTTTGAAACTTTTTTCCGTGTAAGCCAGCCATATCAACTCAACAAATTAAAGAGTTTATTCAACTCTGTTTAAATAAAAATAAAGCAAGAGCTTTATTTTACTTTTTAAAAGCTACTAATATATCATTTTGTGCATCGTCGTCGCTTCCGGAAGTTAAATAATGTATTATCCTCATTGTGGCCGCAACAGCAACCGCCAAATTTTCGTATAACAAGTACTTTTCCCATTGTTAAGAATTAAATTTATTTTAATTTTAAATGAATTTTCTTTGTTGACAAACTAATCAGCTGTTTTTCATACCATCTAGTTTTTACGGGATCAAATTTTCCCAGCACAAATTTGTAACATTCTCTCCAACTAAACGTCAAATTGCGCTTACTTGTAAAAAATTTTTACTGGGATTTTGGCTCAACGAACACGATCCAGTAAAATTAGTTAAAAATTGTTTTTGCCCATATAGTTAACAAACCAAACTATTACTTATCCAACCTTTAATTACTTTCAATTAAATTTATAAACAGGTACTGTCCCACAGTGCAAAATATTTGTGTTAACCCATCTCTAATAAACAAGCTCAATTTCATAATAAGTATTTTGATGTTTGCCAATTAACAAAAACATCTGTATAAAAATGCATGTGGTAACTAACCTTTGCCGACAAAAAATTCATTTTGCAAAGAAATTATTTTCAAGAAGATGTACTTCAGGTTTTTCACAGAAAGATGAAAGTTACGTCACAAGACATGTAAGATATGTTTGTACTTTGCACATATATAATTCTTAAAATACTATGTGATTTCAGGACTTCTTAATTGTTTAGTTTGAAGAAATATCTATTTCAGTGCCGTGGGGTCATATTAATGGGAAATGGTATGGACCTAACAATGTTCGCCCTATACTTGGATTGCACGGGTGGCAAGACAATGCAGGAACTTTCGACACCTTAGCACCATTGTTACCTCAGCACGTCGGTTTTCTTGCTTTGGATTTACCCGGTCACGGTCGGTCTTCCTGGTTACCTTCTGGTATGTCTTACCACTCTATTGATTTGGTTTCAACACTCTTACGAATCATGGACTTTTTTAAATGGGACAAAGTATCGATGATTTGCCACTCCATGAGTTCAGTAAATGGTTTTGTTTTTAGTGCATTTTACCCTGAAAAGGTTGATATGATGGTTGGTTTGGATGTTCTAAAGCCCCTATCGCGTAACAGTGTTAAAATTGTTGACAATTATAAAGAATGTTTGATAAAAACCATAGCGTATGAAAAACGACATAGCAAATCGGAACCCCCATGCTACGAATGGGATAAATTGGTGGACCGCTTACACTATGGTTCAAACAAATCTGTAAAGAAAGAGTCGTGCAAATACTTGCTGAACAGAGCAATACAGCCCTGTAAAAGTGATCCAAAGAAATATTATTTTGCACGCGATAGCCGCTTAAAGCAGTCGATGTATTATGGCTTTAGTAAAGGAGTGGCTTTAGAAATGGCGCAACGAATTAGCTCACCCTATATGTTCATTAAAGCATCCCAAGGTCCTTACTATGAAGAACGAAAGTATTTTGATGAAGCATTGGACATAATGAAACGAAATCCTCTTTTTGAATATTATGAAGTAGAGGGGTCACATCATGTTCATTTAAACAATCCGGAAACAGTGTCTCCGATAATTAATTCCTTCATTAACAAATGGCGTCCTCTTTAAATACAATAACTTTAATTAATTTAATTTAATTTTTTTTTTAAATGGCGTCTTGACCAAGGAAATTAATATTGTTAGTATTTCAAAATAATTAATCGTTTGTTATAACTTGCTTCTTAAATGCAATAAAAATTAGTGCACAGTTCCTAATTTTAATGATATAAAATTTTTGTGGAGAAACTATTATTTACGAAGATATGGGCGTGAAAAGGTAAGTAAAATTCTTTTTTTTTTTGATGTCCACCCTTTACTCTTTGAACGTTAATTTTGAGATATTCGGGTTACAAAAAATATTGTTTGATATATATATATATGAAGGATTAGTTTTTCTTAAAATTGCCAATGATAAAAAGAGCATAGAAATACATTTAAATATGTATAATTCATGAAATATAAATTATTTAAATAATAGTATATTCACGTAAAGTACCACCGTGTAGGCCTAATGAAGCAACAATTTGTTTAGCATATGCATTGTATTTATTATTTGCTTTTTGTATATATTTTTTTTTTTGGAATTTTATTTTCTTTTAGTATAAGATTTTTAAACATATAAATAAAACAATCGACATCGAGTATATGAGTCAGTTTCTAATTTACGCAAGTTTCATTTATCCTCGGTAGGGATTAATCAGTGTTTTCAATAACCCGTTTAAAAATTGCGGACAGACTGATTGAATTAAGGGTAATTAAATTTTCGTAACAAATATAAATATTTATATCCATATAGGGTGGGTGAAGCTTAATCCGCTACAGTATCTAGGCCTAAGTTGCGCCAAGGTCGCGCGGGTCTCTCGAGGTAGCTCGAGCTCTTGTTGTTGTTGTAGCGGTTCGCTAACCCCGCTTAGGGACAGGTGTGATTAATCTGAGTCGCCCAGATCATCTAACGGGAGGTCCAAGAAACGAACTGTTTCGACGGGGTTGGACCACAGGTGAGAGGGGGTTAGATAAGTTGGTTTGAGCATCTCGAGCTCGTTGTCTGCAATGGGGTGTGGTTTTCCCAAGCACGCCATTCACGGGAAGGTAGTCTTTGAAGATGTTGAATGACTCCTGGTAAATGGCGTTCAGTGTTTGTCTGTACGCCGTCCTGTCTTGCTTTTGTTGCACGTATTGCTGGATGGTGTTTTTCATGTCGAGTATTCCCTTTCTGATGTGCCTAGGTGGTGGTTCAGGTTCGATAAGATGCTGTTTGCACAGCAAATCATTATGCTCCTTAACTCGTAGCATAGGTACTTCACTGTGCAAGTGATGCTCCGTCAACATCAGGAGGTTTCCTGTCGCGGCCTGTAGCTTCCTCATCTGCGTCTCGTCCGTCCCCGGTGCCCAGATTGGTGCAGCATTGTTTACGACTGGCCTGCCAATTGTTTTGTAAGTTGCCAGCAAAGTTTCTTTGTCTTTACCCACGTGCTGTCGGCTAGTGCTTTGAGTATTTTGTTGCGGTTCTGGAGTTTTGCGGCAATCGCAGTCGTATGCGGTGTGCAGACTATCTTTATTCCCAACATCTTTCAGTTGTTAATAGTCGGAACTTTGCCGTCATCGACGTTCACATCTAATTTAAGCCTGAAGAGGGTAGCCAAATATTTATTTGGTTGTATTTTTAACTGTCGTGCAGTGAAGAAGTGAGAAAGATCGGCAAGGTAGCATCGGATTATGAAGTTAAGGAAACTCCTTCTGGTGGAGGAGGGAGTTTCAAAATATTCAAATTAAACAATAGCGGGGAGAGGACACCACCCTTCGAAAGCCCTCGTTTAACTTTCCAGGATTTCAATGTTTCACCTCGGAATATTGTCGATGATTGGCGACCACTCAGATAGCCCATGATCCACCTACAGCCCCGGCGGTATTGAGGTTTCCTCATATGACTGAATGATTGACGGTGTCAAAAGCTTTTGACAAATCCAGCGCTATCAAAACAGTTCCCGAGCAGGGTCGATTTTGGTTAAGGCCATTGACTGTATGGGTGTTTAAGGCGTTAAGTGCTGTGCAATACTGACGTGCTGCTGAACTAAGGTGGTGAGTGAATGTCGAGAGCAGTAAGGCTTCAAGCGTCTTCGATACTGGGGAGAGTCTCTCTTTTCTTTGGTTGGTTCTCCAGCTTGAGTAGTGGGACCTACCTGCCCATTTTCTAAACGTCTACTTCCGCTGATCCTAGATGTTTTAGTATCAGCATTCTGATTCCGTCGGGGCAGATGGATTTGTAGGTTTTCGCCTTCCCGATGACCCCCAGAACCTCTTTCTTCTTGAAATCAAGCGCTGCGATGGTGTTTGACAGTTCGCGCAGGCAGCGGGTTACTCTTCTCTTCATTTGGTCACAGAAGTATGCAATGGAAAGAGTCCGTTAATCTCTTCGGGTCCGGTGAGGCACGGTCATCGAATGAAATTTGCACTCCGCGCTACATTATCGTGGCTTACTTGAAGTTGAAAGTCTAAGTAAAAAAAAAAAACAAATGATGATCGGATCAGAATGTTATTAAAATCCTATTGCATTGTACCTCGCAAAGTAACATATATACAAAGTTTTTAGATTTGAAGATGCCTGGTTCTCTCATCGTCCATCCCAGTCAATCAGCTTCATTAGCTGAATTTTTTGAAGAATAAGAGAAATTCACGATTTTGGGAATAGGTTGCCCTTAAATAAAAAAGTTGAAAAACAATTAAAAGTGCAGTAAAAAATGTTCCCACAGCTTGGGGGTACTCAGAATCCTTGTTCATATTTCGTACTTTTATATACGAGGGGATTAACAAAAGTTCAGTCAGATCACCATCATTTTTTTTTTTTTAAATTAAATATTTGTTAAAATTTGTCTAAAAACTTTATTAGCCTTCCTTTCAAATTTGAGAACGATCGGCTAAAATGGAGATAAGAAAACGCAAGATAACTGAGGATAGGTTAGACGAAATTCCATAAGGACCATAAATACTTCGCCAAACTTTTACCTTGAAGACTCCCAAAGCCGACTTATCAGCTGTTGACATCGTCCATGCCTCTGCGCCATATAGTAGAACGGGTATGATGAGCGACTTGTAGAGTTTGGTTTTCACGAAAGTGAGGAAAGTTTCTGACTGCCATTCACCTGGGAAACGATTATTTTGCATATGGTTCAAGCAGCTCACGACTTCCGGTCTTAGACAAAGTACCCCTGGGTAGCCAACAAACATCTGTTGTATTTACGGTCTCTGATTGAACCTTCTCGTTGTATTTACGTTCTCTGCTCTGGGTGTACAATGGGGAAAGTTGAATTAAAAATCGAAAATTGCATCCTTATTATCGAATATAAAAAAGTTGTAGCACGAAGAATGTTAACGATAATAAATTATTCCACATCTCTGGCCTTTTCTACAATTGTAAACATAGATTTGTATGTAATTTGAAGTACAAGGAGAAATCGTGCTAATTTTTTAGAATTTGTTACCGTATATAATTCGATGAATACTGTTTTGCAGAATTAAAATACTCTATATGTATAAATCTATTGCAAATCGATTAGGAAATATATAGAAAGATTTTTGTATATATCTTATCAGACATATTTTGAAGAAAACCCTATAAAAATTGAAGGAATGACGTACATTCGATGAATTGAATAATATCTACCGTGGAATAATTTCTTTTATAATTCGATCGACGTTAACGAAATGGATGAAGAACTCTTGTACAATAAAGAAAAGCTCAACATCCAAAAATCTTGTAGGGATTGGCAGGTATTGTCTGTGTTCCGATCTTAATATTTATTTAACACATATTTATGTTTAAAGGCTGAAGAAGTTGTAGCATGGGCTGAAAAACAAGGAATGGATTATAAAGTTATAAACTGTTTAGCTGCTGAGCATATCGATGGTAGTGACATTCTTGAGTTGACTGAAAATGATATTCGAGATTTTCGCTATCGTCTTCAATATCGGCTTACTATGAGCGATATGAAAAAACTTTGGGTTGCTGTTCGTAAACTACAACAGATTAATTATACAACGCCTTTTGGTTCTTCGCAAAGAAATACGTTTGAGTCAGCGGATAATTCACCAATAAGTCGTCAATGTTCACATCATCAATGCGGCATAATCGGCTGTGGTAATGTGGGTGGTTGTAGTTGTGGTTTCAGCCGAACAAATCCTACTAGCGCTGGGGCTAGTTGCTATTATTCCGATGTATGTTCACCACCTCCTCCCACGTTAAGTGGTAGCGCCGAAGAGGATAATCTGTCTCCGCCGTTGTCAATAGATGGCCGTGCAACTAATATACCACCAGAGTTATTCAAAACCGCCATCAGTTTAGGTGAGATAAATATTAATGGATTAATATGGTAAAAGATTTTTGAAAAATCTGATCTGTTGAGTAACATTAGATTTGATGCCTATTAGATTGGAAATTACATCAAGTTCGCGGAAGATCTTAAGAATTATCTGTGCGAAATTTGTTTATTTGATTTTATTTAATGATGAGAAATTCCATAAAGCAAATTTGCTTACAAAGCTACTTAGCCATTGATCGTTTAAAAATAAAAGCTCAGTTCCAACTGTTGTGCCATTTAAGAAATGTTCTAGGGAGGGTAAAAATACGTTTAGTGAGACTTGTTTTTATATTCACATAATGATTGTTTGTTCTGCACAGCGTCCTGTGAATAGTACCTATGGATTCAAGAATTTACCAACGTAAGGACATGCTTTTGGTATGTGGTATGAGATGCCTAAAGTCCAATAGTTCCTGCGATAGTTGGGTCTTTGTAATCAAGGGCGCAATATTCCCCAAAAATCAATTTGAGGAATATTTTGCAGTTTGAACACCAACAGAAACATATACGTTTGGACCAATATCTGGGCGTGATTTCCAATTTAATCGTCCATTTCTATTTTGACACAAAAACTCTGAGGGTTCCTAATTTTTTATTTTAGTTTTCAAAAATGCTTTAAAACAGATTCCCTCAATTGGTTACGAAATTAAGCCAATGCCAGATATAACATAGTCACATTAGTTTTCCATTATTTCAATCCTTACGTTGTCAATTCGCTCTCCAATATAGATCCGATTAAAATATAAAAATTATTTATATACTATGTTACATGTTTGATATTTCTACATATTTGCGAATTAATTTCTAACTCATATTTTTTCAGGCTATTCGTTTCTTGTCACTTGGATAACTTCCTTTGTAATGGTCATAGTACATGAACGGGTGCCTGATATGAAGCGCTATCCTCCGTTACCAGACATTTTTCTTGATAATGTCCCACATATACCGTGGGCTTTTCATATGTGCGAGATAACGGGCACTTTATTGTTCATTATTTGGTGCAGCGTTTGCATCTTTCACAAATATCGTCTGGTACTCTTACGACGTTTCTTCGCTCTTGCAGGAACAGTTTTTCTGCTTCGTTGTGTAACAATGTTGATAACATCGCTCAGTGTGCCTGGCACACATTTGCAATGTAATCAAAATGATTATGCAGTTGATGACACCGAGTAAGTAGAGTAAAAATGCGAAATAAAAAATGCCGAATGATCCTTTTTGATTAGTTCTAATATATTTATTTATATTTCAATTAGCGGAAGTTAATTAAATTTACTGAAAAATATATTTATTAATGTTTAATACATCCTACATTATAGATTTTACTCAAATTACTTTAACTATGTGATTTTTATGAGTCTTCATCATCATTTTCGTCGTGAAATGGACATAGACACACATTATTTAGCTTATCGTTCTTGGGGTATAGTACCGCATATAGGCAAAACGTTGTTAAAATTTAACGATTTAATTTCTCAAATATTTAAATTATACTCATTTAAAAGTAAGTTTGATCAAAATAATTTTGTGTGCAGAGAATTTTAAAAGGTTTATTCCTCATGAAGTAAATTTTCATATAAACTTTGGTGATACAACTATTAGGCTCTTTCAAGTATTCAGTTTATTTTTAGTTCGGTGAGGTATTTATTTTGCTTGATTTAGCCTCAAAAGAGAGATCGATGTATTTTATGTTCGAAAGATATGAAAAAATAAAAATTCTAGTGAATAAAGTCAAAATCAGCTATTGTCGGTAGCACCTAATGTAGTAGTATCTCGATCAAACTCAGCACTTCTCCCTAACTGTAATAAAAGTTTCTCAAATCAATTAAAGAGAAAATACTAATATTTTTCAACACATAAAACCTTAATACGTTAATACGGACGGAATTAGTAGAAGCTGATAAAACTGAGACAATTTAAAGAAATATGTACCTAATATTTCATCCTTATAGGTTTAATTGAACAATACCAATATTGAAAGAAAGTAGAAAATGTTGCGTAGTTATACGTTCCACCATTTACATATCTAAGTTTGACTAAATATCCCAATTAGGAATCATACTCAGTTCGAAAAAAAACAACATAACAATAAATAGACACCCTCATTTGCAATTAGTATCTTGGGTATAAATTGAAATAAGTAATGTTTTAATAAAACACATTAATTTTGTTACATATTTCAGCTTGACAATAAAGGAAGCTTTGGAATTACGTATATCTCGGGCATATACCATTTGGAGTGGACTAGGAATGTCTATTCAAGGTGTGCGGACATGTGGTGACTATATGTTTAGTGGACATACAGTGGCTTTAACACTTTTGAACTTTTTCATTACCGAATGTGAGTAAATACGGCTCAAATATTATATCAGACCCAATATAAAATTTTTTTTTAAAATTTGGTAAATATTAGGATTTTCTTCAATTGGTTATCCAATCTAAAGAATTTGAATATTGGATATTTTAAATTTATCAGCCGTGTTCCTATTTTCATATCCGTAAACTATTTTATGGACTGGGTGGAAATCACATAATTCCTGCCTTTTTCTAATATTTTTAGAATATGTTTTAAGCATATTTTAATTAGTTGTTTAGGCTGTGTGTCAATCAGTAGAAAATTGTAATTTTCGTGGTGAGTACAAACGTAAGAGTTTTATGTAACCCAAGGGGCTAGGGCATTAGCAAAGAAAAGTGTTTTTTTTACTCTATTCACTTTTTTACCAGCGCGCAAAAATATTTGATTTATTAAAAAATTTTATTGTGCTTAAGTCAAAACTTACAATTACTCGAGCAATTAGTAAAATTTTAAAGAAAGTTGAACTGAATCGGGGAAATATATTGTATTGAGCGCATCATCGTTTTGCTCGTTCTTCTTAATGATCTGTAAGTGAAAGTGTAGCCGAAGACCCAAAAGTGCATATTTTTCGACGAAGAGCTAGGACTTACGGCACATCATGGCGTATTCGCAAAATCAATTAAAGACACTTGGACTTGTGTACATCCATATAAAGTCTACCTCACATAACAACTGAAGCAAGCTGACTATTACGTCGATTGAGCGCTTGAACAATAAGCAGTGGGCGGAGATCTTTCGGAAAAAAATTGTCTTCATCTACGGACACATTTCTTATTCGGTGGATACGTAAATAAGCAAAATCTGCTATCTGTTACACTCTCTCGTCCGGTGTGTGTGTAATTGGACATTTCTTCTTTGAAAACGACAACAGCGAGACTGTCACTGTTGATTCGTAGCGTGATGGCTGTATGATAACCCACTTTTTTGGCCTGCAATCGAAGAACAAGAAGCTTAAGGATCACGTATAGCGCAGCAAAGGGATCTATGGGATGTCAGTTACAACGACATATTAAACTTTGAGATGCCAATCACACATACCTAGTTGTCTATGCGAATAACTGCCCGAAACACAGAAGACGCGCGAAGAAAACTAAACCATCTGATTAAATAATCTTGCTTAAAGAGAGATCGTAAGTTACTATCATTCCAGATGAAGGAATCGTAGCGGATGACATGCATCAACATATCGAGCTCTCTGCTCATGATCTCATAGCTGGAAATCGGATTTGTCCAAGCAACTTTTATCCACTTCGGGCACAAATGTTTTTCAAATGTATCAAACACAGTACTTTGCTGAAAGTGGACTGAGCGAGAGACAAACTAGAATTTTTGCTTACTCCAGTTTGGTAAGCGCCTTCAGCAAAAAATCTTAAAAAAGCCCTCAACTTCACTATAAATTTTTTTTTTTAAATCTGTAAATAAATGCGTTGCTTAAAAAGTAAAAATAAATTGTACAAATTTAGGCTTACAAGGTGTGATGGAGCTGATTTGCGCAACCGCACAAGTTCTTCGAAGTGTATTGCTCCACTGTTCTTCTTTTTGCTACTAATCTTAATGCAATTTAAGCGGTTTTTTTTTTCAAACTTCACATTTTAAATCAATTTTTCTAGTAGTTTCGTTTTTTTATTTAAGAGGGGAACCTGGTTTATAGAAAAAATCGATTTTTTGAAACTTATCTCATTCGATTAGAAATATATTCAGAAATATTTCCACAAAACTTCAGAGTCAAATTCCTAATCGTTCCGAAGGAGTCGCCTCTGAGAGACAATGCGCTCAGGAGACTGATAAGCGGGCGCGAGAACTTTAAACGCGATTTTCTCAAAACAGTATTTTTTTTTGTTTTGTGCACACGATTAAAAAAGTTGTAATTATCGCATTTTCATAAATGATACCTTTTTTACAACTAAAGCAGTGAACCTAAAAAATCACAACAAAAAATTTTTTTTATTAACTTTTTTCAATGAATTATTTTCTTTATTTTCTTCAGAAAAACGCAAAATTTATTATAAACAGTCATAAAATAAATAATTGTATACATGTCTTCGAATATGTTAGGTTCATATAGAAGAGGCGTGTTCACAAAATAGACTCTTCGAGCGAGAAGTGCCACAAACAAATACGAATTGTTATTGCTTAACAGTATCAAATAAAGTGAAAGTAAATTTTTTTTGCAAGATTTGTGTATCTATGACCTATTCCAAAAGTACTTGAACCATTTCATACGTAAGGCAACCTAAAACACTGTGCCGAATATCATGCAATTTTCTGCGTTCTAAACCAGGTTCCCCCTGATTGCCAAATTCGAAAATCAGTTTCTTCTCCTTCTCCCTATGGAATTAAGAATGCCTAATTATTATTCACGAAAAGAAAAAATTCCGAAAATACTTAGAATCGGGCTGATAATACAAAAAAAAATTTCTTGAAAAAATTATCTCAAATCAGTTTTATTTATTTTTATTTTCGAAACCGCAAAATTGATAACCATGCATAATGTGTGTTCTGCATGCATTTCAGGTCGGACTGGTAATTAGAGAGCGTCAAAAATCTCTTAAATTAGCTGTGTTCGTTGAGAAATGTCAGTAAAATTAGTCAGATGTTAGATGTCTTACTCTCCCAAAGAAAAAAATTTACAAGAATTCAGTAAAAATTAGCCAGCAAGTTGTATATTAAGTATTATTGTATTTTAAGTATTAAAAAAAAAAAATTGGTAATTATACAGCATCTTAAATATATTAATTGTATTCAAAATTTATTATATTTCAAAAATGATGAAATTTTACATTCTTTATGGTGTCCTAAGAAAAAGATACCAATATATTTTTCTAATAATCCTCTAAAAGGCCGAAAATTCTTGTAAAACTGGCTGTGCAGCAATTTGTCTTTTATAAGTCAGAAAAGATGACTTAAATACGTAAATCAGTCTGGGATTTTTTTTCCGTGTAAGCCGGCCATATTAACTAAACAAATAATACAATTTATTTAATTATATTCAAATAAAAATTAAGAAAGAGCTTTATTTTCCTTCTTAACGCCACTAACATTTCATTTTGTGCATTGTCGTCGCTTCCGGAACCGTTGCAATGTTTTGCGGCTCATTTGATTAAATTTCTTTGCCATTAATTTAACAAAATTAAATAATATTTGGGCAGAAAGTAAGATTCTCTCAATTTCGTTACTAGCTAGTTTTTACTAACATTTCTCAACGAACACAGCTATTAGTTTTAAATCAATTTTGTTTTGTTGGCAAAAATTCATTCTTATGATCACAAATTAGCTGTTTTTCTTACCTGTTAGTTTTTACTGGCTGAAATTTTCCCAGCACGATTTTACAACTTCCTCACCAAACTAAACGTCGAAATTGCGCTCTTTCGTTTCTAATTTTAAGCAGATTTTTTTTTGCTCAACAAACACGATTCAATAAAAATTGTTATTGCCCATTTAATTAACGAAAGTGTCAAAGGACGAAGAATGAAAACAAAAAGTTTTTCGTGACCGTGATCTACAAGAGTATGGTGTGACGGGAGCTAAAAAAGAAGAAGAACTTTACAATCCAAAATTGATTTTAATTTCTGTATAATATCTAGCTTTTTTGCCGAAGGCTTATGCTGGTAATACCCATCTTACATACCTTCCGTCCATAGCAACCTATCTTATGAGACCGCCATGTAAATGAAAAGTTGTCACCGCTAACCCATGCCTTTACTGTCGGGTGTTATGGCTGTACGGGAGATGGGTAGTTGCAGCATAAAATTCAATCATAGCTCTGAAAAATTGCAATTGCACCAATCAATATAATTTGGTGTGTTTGAAAATGCATTTATACCGTACTTTACATCATTTCAATTTAAGAATGTAAACGAAACTTAACGGTTATGCAGCATTTGAGAATCACAAGGCAAGATTTGGAGATTAACCAACCGAACAGCAGCCAATAATGCACCACTGGGTATATACTAAATGGCCTTGACCGTTAGTCCTTTAGGGAATTGGGGAAGACTGAATTTAATCTAAATTTAGATATAAGTGAATGGGATAGGAAGGAGGAAAATTTCTATTTGAATTAAAAACAAAAACAATTTATCAATTTAAAGTCATATAATTTACAACTAGTTTTCTTGTTCACTAAAATAGATACACCACGCAACTTGTACTTTCTGCACACTTTGACTTGGCTTTTAAATATGTTTGGCATATTCTTCATACTTGCCGCCCATGAGCACTACTCGATAGATGTGTTTGTCGCCTTTTACATAACATCTCGACTATTTCTCTATTATCACACTCTGGCCAATAATCAGGTAAGTTTTAATTGATTTATTTGCAAAGCAAAAAACGTTTAGGCGCAAATTGGTGTAGATTATATTACATATAATGATTATTATTAGGCACTAATGTCGCACGACTCAAATCGCACTCGCATCTGGTTTCCAATGTTTAGTTACTTTGAGAGTTCCATTGATGGTATTGTACCCAATGAATTCGACACGATTGGAGCTCTGATGGATGGTCTTTTCCAGTTTATTTTGAATTTCAAGGACACATGCATGCTAACTGCGCGCCGTATTTGGATCGAAGCACCACAGACTCCAACATGTTCGAACGCATCGGAAACAACTAACCTTATAAATAAAACACATTCAAAAACTGGACAAAATGTTGACACAACAATGCCTGTGGATGTTCCTATTACTCCAAATACGTCGCAGCCTTTGTTTGACATCAGTAAGAAAATGACGCAAGGGGTTTTAAAGTCATTTGGTTCGGCAACGAATAGTGTCACAACACAATTATCGACAACAAGCAACTGCACCCAAACGGATAAAAAGCAACTGTAGTTAGAATGCAGTTCAAGGCAGGAGCTTAATTGGCATTTATCATATTTCCAAAGTATTTTGAGCAACCATATGTTAGTAAATTCTAAAAAAACGTATGATTTTTTTATACTTAAGTATTCAAGTTATTACATTCTCATTGGCATTTATTATGTCAACTTATAGTATATATGGATATATAGTAGTATGTATGTAAACTATTGTTTTTTTTTACTTATAAAAATGAATTGATTTACGTGAGCCATGCTAAAGTTTAGGAAAGTCTTAACAATTTTGAGTATTTCCCTGATTGTTCGTTGGCTCGATTCATGATGCACTAAGCCAAGGTACGTAGTGATAGCTAATTTAGTCCGTTCTTTTAGGATTTCAGGAAAAGCTGAAATTTAAACTGTACGGAATGAATGAAATATTGTTTCTTTTTCGCTAAAATTTTATAAAAAAAAAAACAAATACATTGTGCTTCTAAGGTATTTAAGATGGCGAAACTAGAGCAAAAACTTTCTATATGCATCACCTTAGCTCTGTTCGGTGAGTAACGTCAGTAAGAATTTGCGAGTAACGAAATTAAGAGAGGAATTTACTGAGTTTTCACCTGACTGGATTCAATAAAAGTTAACAACTATTTGTTTTGGCAGTTGCATTCGAATCTGTTTATTTCTATAGTTTATTGTTTTCTGCTTTTAAGTATTTTCATATTTATTTTAATAAAATGGGCAATTATATGGAATTTTTTATTTATTAATAGTATCCAAAAATTATTGATATGTAACAATGATGTAATTATTCACGCTTTAAAGCCATGAAGACATAAAGATTTCTCAAATAGTTCACTGAAAGAACGAAGATTTATTTAAAATTAACTTTGAAACATTTTTATCGCTTAGATTTTTTCAGGAAAGATTACTGAACGCAATGATTAGTTAGCGCTCAGTAAACATTCTCAGTGATCGCTCACCAAATTTGGGTCAACTACAGTACACAGAAAAAATGAATCGCGAAAATTTAAAAGTATTTTTACTTGAAAGTGCTTGTGACGACAATTTACTAGATTATTCGAGTTGTCAAATAAATTTAGTTGTTCCATTTGTACTATTGTAGATAAACAGTTTTTCAAGGAAAGAAATTTAAAAGAAAGGACCAAACATTTTTATGAAGAAACTGTGCCACGGTATGCGGATGACCAGTTTGGGGAACACAAAAAAATATTTGTAAATATATAATTTTTAAGATAATTACTTTAGAATAGTAGTGCATGGCAATATTTTCCATGGCGAAAACTTAACTTCACAATTAGTTGGTCGTTTCGACATTACTGAGCGCCCAGTTCGCTGAATGCACCCAATGTTAATTAAAAATTTTACAATTTCTTGTAAATTAAAGGAATCCAAAATCAGCTTGTACTGTACAAAAAATTAGAATCACAACTTTGCACAAACTTTTCTATTTCAAAGAGTTCAGAACAACTTAAATACCCACTTTTTTTCTTTAAAAAAATTACTTCGACATTGAGCGACCAGAATTTCGTCATTAAGACTTTTTGCGCAACTTTATTTAAAGTATATTATTATATATTAAATGATGATGGTGGAGAATTAGATAGACCACTGTTTTCGTTCATATAAACGCATAAAAAATTTGATTGTGGACCATTGAAGTAAACATGGCGTAGCACGCTCCATATATTTAAATTTGATTTAACGAGGCAGGCTGTTGAATGAATACAGACATATCAATAAAGCTTGGTATTTAAAGTGAATCGAGGGGTTCGAAGGGTTCGTTTTTTTTTTACTTGGAATGAAGTATTGGTTCTTGTCTGATTGCGTACATATTATATTAGTCTCATGCTTACAGAAAACCAAAAAATTATATGTACAGTTGAAGATCACAGACAAATGTCGACTATGAAGATATACAGATAAAGGAAAATTATGATTAAAAGGAGAATTTTCTTAATAATAATAATTGCACAAGTTACGATATATATTAGGATAATTAAATTATGCCTCCTTCCGGTTTGAGCTCTTTTATAACAGTAACAGAAGTCTAAATGCACAAAGTTCTTAACAGTAACAAATTTACTTTCAGGACAGCGTTACCCGTGAACCGTTTCGATAAACATAAATTAAATTCAAAATTGGGTTCGTTTTTTATAAAGTAATAAGTAACTTTAGTGCTCGTTTCTCAGTCCGGTATGGCTCTTTTAAAAAAGCAATTAAGATCTAGAAGTTGACATGATAGTCTGATTTTGTTAAGGGGAATAACTACAGGATGTTCTGGGTACATTTCAAAAAATAAATTTTGTAAATGCTTGGAATATAATTGTTTTATGACTCGCAATGATAATTGCAACGATATTAAGGAAAAGGAGCGTAGAAATGACTTTATGTTACAAACATACATAATCATCTCAATCTAAGCTTATTCGAAATATGTATTTTTATTGGTCCTTACAGAATAACTATATTATATTAAGTACATGAAAATTTGCATTGGCCATTTTAAAATATTGTAAATATAGTTGTATAAAAGTTTCCTAAGCTTAAAGCAAAATATTCTTCTGCGGAGTTAACCTCTACCGAAATAAAAATCAATGTGAATAAGGTAAATAAAAAGATATTGTAAATAAAAAATCTTTCTAGCTTTCATTTAAAGTATTGAGGTGTGTTCAAAAAATGTGGTGAATTTTCAATTTTCTTGGGTTAAGTACATGTGGAAAAGGAAGTATTTTCACTCAATATAAAAAGTACTATAAATAATTTTTTGACCATATATCTTATTTTTCCACTTAGAGAACATAGCTTGTTTCCTAAAAAATGTTTAGCCTTTGTACTTTTGTGACGAATGCCGTCGTATGCGGATTGAAGCAGTGCAGGCTGTCGAATGTGACTCTCAGAAACTTGGGAGTTACTTATCGGAGTTCGAGTCGGTCCTCTTTCGTCGAGCTGGTGAAAAGGGTAGCCGAGGATTTTACAGGTTATAGCTGTAGTTAGTGGTATACTTTCGAACATTACTCATTAATAACCTAGCCAGATGCCAATATCGAGCGTTCGTTGGCATATGAAATCATTGAAACGTTCTCTGGTGGTGGAGAGAACTTTGGAATGTCAAATTTAATCAGCAAGTGGGGAGAGGACACTTCCCTTCAGAATCTCTTGTTTAATCTTACGGTGCTCGAAACTCTACCGATGACTGAGAGATTTCGGCATACAAGATTCTCCCTCGAAATCCACCCATCCCGATTTAAGTTGCGTGGACATTTTATCCATCCTCACGAATGGAATTTCCTCCCAGTAATCGCGTCTCGCCGATTTGACTGTGGCCTAGAGCTTCGCTGCGCTAGAGGAGTGCTTGAAGAAATTTTAATGTTCCTCCCACTTTTTCCGTCTATGTTAGTCGACTTTCCGCCGAATGTACTTATTAAGATCCCAGATAAGAGGAGTTCCGTGACCGGTGATCCAGGGAAACAAAGTCGGGGGACTGTCGATCAAAACAATTATGGACAAATAGTCTGGTGATAGGATCAGACCAGCGCTAGCAATTTTTATATCAGGCTCACAATTCTGGTTGGAGACGATGTAGTTCATGGTGCAAAAGGTCGAAGGAGCTGACTAACAAAATTTTTCTACAATTAGGTCGCTGTAACTATTTTGATTTATGTTGCTTTCACATTTTAAATTATGCAAGATTACTCTGGTCAAATTAGACATCCGAGCTTGTTCAAAACATCTTCATAAAGGAAATGTAAAATTCCCATCGATCCGACACCAGGAAAAAATTGACTCTGGAGTCAAGTGTCCCTCCAGCCACACTGGTAAGATTCAATCAGATCGTTGACGGTGGGATTTAGTCTTTGCCAAAGTATGTTCGAGTACACCTAAGTTCCAATCGTTATTCATTCTTTCATCCGACCATATTTTGTAAGGAAACTGATGCATGCACATTGTAAGTTCTTCACCGTCGTATTAGAATAGCTCGGCGGCTTTGTTGATTTTCAAGCTGGCGATTGCTTTTCGAATATCTTCATAGTCTGGCAATGAAACATTTGTACCATCGTCATCGATTGGAGTATCGGGCTCGCCATGTCCTGGTGTTGCACTTTTACTCCAAGAGTTTGCTCCGTTCTTGAAACCTTCTGTAAGTCCCCGGATTTTATTTTGTCTGCTCATGCGTATTGCTTCTCTCTTCAATTCTTGTTATCTATACCGTCCCGCACGTGTAGTGGTTAATCGGAACGTTGCGAGGTAGTCAGCTTGTTTTCTCTCCACTGCTACAAGGCTGTCCTTATCGTACCAGCTCGGCATTCCGTCCCAGAGATATCTATATCGACTTGCTGATGAGGGCTCCCTGATAGCAGGAGTGAAAGTCGATGTCAAACCTTCCTTATTATTGTTGACGGGCGTTCTTTGCTCTGAACAAAGGCGGTGCGTATCCTTGCTGATATGAAATTCTCGGAGTGTACGCTCGTCAAGAACATTGGAGACATGTTTTCCGCCTATCATAACACAATTGATCTGGCTTAGAGTTTTTCGATCAGGCGAGAGCCAAGTAGCTTAATACATTTTTTCTTGCTATTTAGAATCTACGACTACAGACAACCACATTTCGGACAACGACGATGTCGATCAGGCTCAACCCATGGGGGATATTCCGTTGTGGACAGTAGTAACGAATATACCGTTAAAGTCGCCAAGCACTATTATCATATAGAGGCTGGGGCAGCGGTAATGAGCGCACGAATCAGCGATATGTCAAAAAATTTCCCTTTGATGCGGCTTGTGACGAGACGTTTATCCACCGGGACGAATATTAGGACTCTCGCCCACCATGATCAGAAGATTGTATCTCATCTGCGGCGTTGTTTTCTTTTTCATTGGAATTATTTTCTACCCGGTGGGTACCAAGCCCAGCGCACAACCCCGCGAAAATAGTAAGTTTAAATTTATCACAAATTTATATAGCGTCCCGCTTGCTTCAGGACCGACACCTGCTCGCAGCCGCACTTCTGATGTACAGACGTTGCGTTTGGACTTCAACGAACCGTTAAACCGAATAAGTCATAGTGGCTCGTCTGAATCTCTCTTTTGAGCGTGAGCAAAGGCTCGTTTCCAGGGTGCGCGACATAGACAAGAGAGCAGGAATTGAGTATAGTCACACGAATGCAACTGCATACCCTGCGCTCGATCAATAGAGTAATCCAAAACTGATTACCATATAATGGGGTACCAGGACTGGGTTACTTTATGAAGTATGGGAAAAGTACATTCGAACATAATTTTTAGTTTCGGATACAATTCGTTTTGGTCAAAACATACATACCTATGTTCATACTAACATAATATCATATATACATACATACATGTGTAAGCTTAAACTTTTAAATGTTCTCCATGTACCAGCAAGGCTCACCAACGAAACAAAACTGATCCAATTTCAGTCCATTTTCCGTAAGCGAGTAGAGTTCTTATTGCCCACTTGCATCCTCGTTTAGTAATTGCGACTGTTAAAACATAAGGCATGCCTGTCGTAAGAGGGGACTAAAATCCAAAAGTTCCTGCGGCAGTGGAGTATATTTTTCCCTCCTGCACTACTTTTGGGAATATTGAATATTTTTGAGGCTGCAGCAACAGCAACAACAAGAAGATAGCGAAACGCGGGTGACTACAGTGGGTGACTATAGAGAAGTATCTATTGGATTACACCAATCGACCAATGCAAGGTGGTGCTTCAATACGCATAAGGTATAGTTTGCATTGCATACTGCCATTCGGAAAGCCAAGGTTTAAATGCAGACCAAGCTAGAAAATTAATTTAAATAAAAAGTTGAGTTAAATTTTCCAATTGCGGTCTTCCCTCGGCAGCGGATGTTGACCCCTCAGAGTGTATTTCTGACATGAAACTGTAAGTCACCCCCATTTGTTGGAAAAACATCAAGACGCAAAGCCACAAATTGGAGGAGAAGCTCGGCCGAAAATCACTTCAGCGGTTACATAGCGCCAATTCTATACATATGTATGTGTAGACTAGACTGATACCACAGTCTAAATAGATTTATAGTTTGAAATCTTTAACTTACTTTAGTTCTTTGCAAAATATGATTGGATGAAAGCATGCCCGACGATTGGAATTCACAAAAACGGAACTCCACACTCTGCGCCAATTATCGTGTCATAAGCCTCCTTCATANAGCGGTTACAAAGCGCCAATTATATATATATGTGTACACTAGACTGGTACCTCAGTCTAAATATATTTATAGTTTGAAATCTTTAACTTACTATAGTTCTTTGCAAAATATGATTGAATGAAAGCATGCCCGGCGATTGGAATTTACAAAAACGGGACTCCACACTCTGCGCCAATTATCGTGGCATAAGCCTCCTTCATATCGCATAAAAGTCCTATGAGCGATTTGTGTGAAGAACTGAAGACTGATTGGACCTTATCAATGCGGCTTTAAACCTAACCTAATCAGCCATTGACCAGTTATTCACCATATGCCAAATATTGGAAAGAGGAGCGACACACACCACCTCTTCGTTGACTTTAAAGCAGCCTTCGACCGTATGGAAAGGAGCTGCCTCTATGCCTCTATTTTTGAATTTGGTATTCCTTATCGTGTGACTTCCTTAATTTAGGGCTGGAAAAAATTATAAGAACTGCTGGCGAACGCCGATGATATTGGTATAATCGGCCACAACAATAGCGCTGTGAGTTCTTGTTTCTCCAGACTGGATAAGGATTAAGCGCAGGATAAGGATCTGGTAGCGAACTCGTAGTTTGGCTAACACGTCACTGTTGACAGACATAACTTCGAGGTCGTAGATAATTTCTTATAACTAGAGACCAATAGTAATGTCAGCCTTGAAATCCAGCGCATAATCAGTCCTGCCAACAGGTGCTACTTTGGACTGAGTAAGCAATAAAAAAGTAAAATCCTCTCTCGGCGAACGAAAACCAAACTCTACAAGTTGCTTATCATACCCGTTCTACTATGTATATGGCGCAGAGGCATGGGCGATGACAATAGCGTAAATCAAAAAATCACTTTCGGTATTATTTTTGAGGTTACAACAGCAAGAACAACAACAACAACAACAACAGCGGATGAGTCGAGTTAAAGGTTTTACGTAAGATTTATTCATTTATTTTCAGCTTTGAAAACTTTCGATGCAGTATCCACCGGTGAAAGCAGAGGAAGAGGAACCTCCACTCCGTTGTTCTATTTAAGTATAATTGGCGCTTTGTAACCGCTGCAGCGGTTTTTCGGCCGAGTCCTCCTCCAATTTGTGGTTTTGCGTCTTGATGTTTTTCCAACATATGGAAGTTGTATACTTGACTATAATTGCGTAAGCGGTGCCTACGCCAGTAAAGGTACTTTAGTTGACTTCTGTCCATGTCACGATTCTCTTCAAATGAATATGAGTTACCTATCATTAAATAAAATACTATTCCTTTTTATATAAAAAAATATATGCAATTACTATTTTGTATATGTTTAGCATGAAATACATATTAAATATAAATATTCGTACCTTAATGACAATTTATATATTGTACATACTTATTTCCGCATACTAAATTCATATTCGCACTTATAATAATTAAGAATCTATGAAGTATATTAAATTTAATATATACGCTAATCTTATTTTAAATAAATTCAAATGACAAATTAATCTTAAATACAATTTTACATGTAAATACACCTGTTGGGGCTGATCTAATCACAATATCTATCGGGCCAGCAATGTGGATCTTTACAACAATTCAATTTACTGAATAATTATAATTCTAATATAATAATCATTACCGGCAACAATAATTTAAATTCTTAACATACAATTTATTTCGTTATTAATTTAGGCAAATCGTACTTCTTTGACGAAAAGAATTTCTGGTACTAATTAGCAAATTATTGGTTATTATCAAAATTTCATTGTATCTAGTTGTAAATAATATTGCTATATGTATGTTAGTTATTGCCTACTTGACTAATTTATAGCTGTTACAGTTGTACATATCACAAGATCAGACCAGTGACCTAATCTGTTAAACGTTTTACTTATTTTTAAGAAACTAAAACGATAATGAATATAAAGAATATATCATAATTCGCTAGAGTATTTACGTGTGAGTGGTTTGATAGAGAAGAAAGTGATTCAGCAATGCACTCGAGTAATGCATTATTTTACCTTAGAAACACTGTTAAATAATAGCTTGTCATCTAAAGCTAATACCACATTTTTTAGCTATTTGAGGAGTATGAATAGACGCGATTGATAGTAGTAGCGGAACGTCATTTTCACTGAGATTGAGAGCTGTAGTTACGGTACTTAATTGACAAAACTCTGTTTCGAGCAAAAAGGCGGCTAAAGATTCAGACTGCAGAAAAATTTCTTGCATTTTCGATTCGATGTAAGCCAAACACTGAAAACAAATATATATGTATTTATTGACTAAATTTTGTAAAATACACATATGTAAGTTAAATTAGAGTACAAACCTCGTAGGCAGAAATACCAGCACTATTCATAGCATGCACTGTTTCCAGCATACTAGAAACCAATTGTGACATTCCGACTGGAGTACTTTGATCGCCTGCGTATGGAAAGTGTTGAAGTTGTGATGAAATTAACCGAACATCCCATTTTTCCATATTTGCTACAATTGCCACATTTTCAGCTGGTAACGATATTAGAGACGCAGCTCGAGCTGATAACGCCAAATCCTCGCGCAGCGACATATGCCATTTATCAGGAGAAGCACAAGTACCCTAAATTGGCAAGTATTTTAAATAATTTAAATATAAAGTAGATATGACGTTTTGTTGTTTTTTTTGTGTACCTGCAGAACCATATCAGATACATAATGATCGCTGACATTTAGAAAAAGTGACGGTACGAAACCGGCTCTCAACTTCATACCGTCTCCAGATCCTGGATCGTCCTCTTGAGGTATTTCTCTTATAGCGGGAACCGGTAGTTTCACTAAATGTATTGCTTCGTTAACAGCAGCACATTTAGCCGCAACTGATGAGATGGAACCCCGATGCGAAGACACTTTTCGCGTGTTCGTGTTATATGTTTTTTGCCGACAAGATGGAGAAGATGTTGGCTCACATTCAACAAAATTACCTGCCGATGCAGATTTTAATGTATCGATTGAAGCACCGGAGCTGACAGATTGTAACGTTCGTGTACTATTGGAAGCAATATGTGCAGCTGGGCTTTTCACCATTTTATTTACAGCTTGCTGAGAATGCGGAGAACGTATCTCATCTGTTTCAAATTCCAATTCAGTGGCATTAGATGGAGTTTGATAGGAGTTGAGAATACTATTGCATACCATACATTCCGTAGAATTAATTGTGGTACTAACGGTAGCTGTCGAAGCCGATGCTGATGAATCTGAAGTTAAACTCTCTAAAGTTATACCAGCGCTCTGTGTGTCAAATTTGGCGCTCTTGTCCATTAACAAATCATAGTTGGATAACACCAAATTTTTGCTTTTCATGTAGTTAGTGGCAATTTGCGGAAATTGTTCAAAGTTGAATTTAACGCCGGAGTGACGTTTCGATGTTGGTCCGTGAGTGCGTTGATGTAGCGGACAAAGCTGTTGTGATGTGTTGCCATCACTGCTACCAGTATCTTCTACTTTCGTCTCCTCTTTGTCAATCGCTGTGATGAGATCTTCATTGCTTTTCTTAATATTGACGAGTGGCTCATTTTCGCCTAACATAAATACTACCCCCCCGATACAGCTACCGCCCATATTATCACGTTTCTTCTGACAATTGTCAAAATGAATTTCTTCCTCTAAACAGACATTTTCACGACGTGGCTCTATGCCCCATGTCATTCGATCACTCTTCCCCATACTGTTTTGAGTAATGAGATCGGAGAGAGATAGAGTGGCCAAGGAATCGTCTAACTCCTCTTGGCGCTTAAGTTGATTACTCTCGCTCAAATTATGTTGTAACTGACTTAAACTAAGACCTTCTTTTACAACTTGCCAAAAGAAATGTCTCTTACCAGTATTTATAATTCCACCATCGGAATATGGAACGTTGCTATCAATGCCAGTGTCAATCTCTATAGCTTCTAGAGCACCTTCGTCACTTGTACTACCACCACCCAGAGAATTTTCATCTTCTATACACACCTCTTCATTGTCAGGTGAGGTGATTAAAACACGAATTTTTCCTTCTTTCTCAACCAATTGTTTGTTATTGATGACATTCGATTTTGCAAATTGCAACAACGATTTCTTTTCAATGCCTGTATCCATAAGATAGTTACCAATACGCAACTCTTGTTGCACAAAGCGGGAATCTCTGAATGCCAAAACATTTGGAATTTCGTTTTTTTTCAATGTACGAACAACCTGAGCACCATCGATCTCTTCATCGCTAGTTTTTTCTTCTTCTCCCGCCATATCGTCGGACATCTCCCCATTGTCTGCTATAGTGTTTAAATTTAATTTGCACGTTTGGGTTCGCTTCATTCCACTTAACCCAATACATTCGCTTGACCCGCCGTCAGCCAAAGGGGCTTTCTTCAAACTATGCCCCCGTTGATATGAACTGCTGTTAGACTTTTTCAACACTTCGTTTTTTCGCTGCTGAATAAGTGAGTTTATTGTATCTTTATTAAAATCTTCACGTTTTGCGGAGCGTCGCACTTCTCCGCAACGTATAAAGTATGTGAGTATATTGAGAAGCCGTTCTACAGCTAATTTTTCTGTACCATAAACTATAGTTCTTGCCAATCGTGGTGGCAGTCCGATAGCGCCATATAGATCACCCATTTGTGCCCACAGAGCATTATACGGATGTTTTTGCGATACTTGTAGGAGCTTAGCGCGTTGCTCGATCGCTGCCGTTGATGATTCAATGAGCGAAGTTCTCGAATTAAATGCAGCGATTGTGGAAACCCAGCCAAGATGGTGTGTTAGAATGGCTGTTAGCATTGTGCTGATGAAACTACAATTAATAAAAATGCATTTTACTTAGCGTTTTTAAAAGCTAAAGAGATACTCACAAATTTGTATCTTTAGTATCGGCCAATGAGAGCAGCCAACATAACTCTTTCATGAATTTCTCTGCAACGCTTTTGGAGTACTTGTTTCCGCTTGTGGTAATGCTCAGCCAAATAGGACATTTAATGCGGGGTGCAGTGAATAGGTCGTTGAACCATTGTTGCGTCTCCAGCCAAGCTTGGAACATTATCTAAAAAAAAAATATGTTTTTGTTTTTTTTTTTTGCACAAGATCGAGATATAAGGGTAACGCTTTGCAGAGGATACAGGGTTTTCAAATAAGAGATGTTATTTATGCAAAATACGGTGTAATGACATTTTCGGGATGCCCAATTTCAAAGAACTACGAGGTATGGATAAACCTGGATTTTCTTCAAGACATTGGGCTACAACAGCAAAATTCTCAGTTGTTCTGCTCTTCAGCGACGTGCACGTGTTTTATTCTTCACATCATTAACATGTCCCGATAGGTGCAGTTCTTTCCGACGACCGAAAAATGTTTTAGTTTTACGAACCGTCTCTGTTAGGTTTTTAAAACTTTGATAGTAAATTTTAATGATTTAAATGCCTTGTTGGAGCATCTATCGTTCCATTTTTATTAGTGGCGTAGTTTTTACTTGCCAAATGTAAAAAAATTACTGCTTCAAAAGTGGCATCTACCGAAATAGGAGGCTATTCGTAATAACACCTTTTATTGGAAAACCCTTTAGTGTTTTTATGAAATATCTTTTACTACTGGGAAATTGAAAATTCTTTCCTCTTCGTTCGAAGGTAGCAAAAAAATTAAATGCATCGACAATACGACTCAAAATGAAGTTTGCGCGACACGGATTTTGGTTTTGAGGTTCTAGCATCTCAAAGAATTGAAAAATAATTAGGTTTGTGAAAAAATCGAATAGTACTAACCTGATAAAATTCTTTATGATTAATGTACGCCCGTTCTGTGCATGCACGCAAACGACCTAGCATAGATTCCAACAGTGCGATATGTTCGCTGCAAAATAATTCCATCTCCTCTTCAAATGATTCGCTCATTGTTATGCACACAGCTAAACCTAGCTTGGCGCGCCGATGTATTGATTTACTGCTTCCACTACTCAACGTATCACGCCGTCGTCCGATTTCCGGGTTACTACGTGATTCATTTGCACTATAACTCGCTCTCCTGTAGTTTGGAACACCCATATTACCGCCTTCGCTCCCCCCACAATTCGCCGTACCTGCAGCAGGATAATTGTCACTGATGAAACCGATTAAGTCGTTCACCGAATGCTCATTCTCGAACGAAGTACGCAGATTTCGTGATATGCGTCGCTGAAGTGTTCCATCGCCGGCATTATCGTCTACGGATGTCATATGGGAAAAATACACTGATTCAATATTATATTTTTGCAATGCATCTATTTGTTCTGACGATAGGGAGCCAAAACTGCTACGAGTGGAATATTGATATGATGCAGACCATTGATCGCTGGACATTTGACTGCGACTCATACCATCGTAGCCTGAATCGATTCCAGTGCTATATGTGGAGGAAAACTGAGGCCCGCTGTCAGTTCTCCCCCCATCGGATACCGATTGTTGATCTGGTACATCAAGAGGAGTGGTCATAAAGCTGCTGCGATCGCTTGGAGTCAAACTTAAATGCCTTCCAACACTCATTGGATAGCCGAGCATCGAAAACGAACCCATCGAAAAGCTATCGATGGAGCCATGTTCGCTGGAGATTGAAGTACGTGGAGTGGCTAAACTGTTCGTAGAAATAGTGGAATAAGGTGAATGGCCATTACCAGCATGTACAGGTGTGAGAAAAACTTGCGAACATAGTAAGCGTGGAGGCAGCTGTAACCAATGCACTTTGAATGCTGTACCGCGGAATGACATGGCCGACGCCCCAAACACCATTTCCCCAACTGTTGTGAATTCTGCAGAATTTGGTTGTACGTGCTAAAAATAGGATATTTAACGAAATTATTTCCAAAGTTCCAACCGAAATAATTGAATGATTATTTTAAGGATTATAATATCTAACCTTATAGCCATATTCCTCGCAAACTTCGATAAAACTATTGCTGGAATGTGTTTTGTAGGCTTGAGATTTGCTTGTTGTGTTTCCATTCCTGTTACGATTGTTCGTTGTGTATTCACTGAGGCGCGTGTAGCGATCGGTCCCCGCTTTGCTATTATTGCCATTTGTTTCTTTTAATGGCACTTTTTGCAAGGCATTGGAATCAAACAGCAATTTCCGGCCAGTTTTGTCGCATTCCCGATAAAGCAAAACTCGCACTTGTCGGCCATCAAAAGGGAATTGGCTGCAGAGAAAAAATTAATGTTCAAACTCAATTAGAGTAATACCATTATTTCGTTTATAACTTGAAAATCAAGATACGTATATGTACCTACATAAATTTCATTGCTGTAAAAGGTTTAAAAATCTCAACCAAACTAGACAGTAAATTCAAAAATTAGAGCTATAAATAAAATAGAGTTGCCTAAATCGAATTATAACGACTAAGAAGACACACCTTAGCTGATCATAATGATAAGGAAAGAAAAGCAGATATTTAATGAAAATCATACAGATATTGTATGTATGTATGGATACAAATATTGTTTGAAGAATTTCATTCCTTCTCAAAAACCGACGTCATTTCTGACCAGATTTTGTTTTATTTTTTGCAATTTTTGTGCAAATTTTTGTAGTGTAGCAGTATGTATGTATGTATGTAACTATTTATTTTTAATGAACATCAACGTTGAGGGACGGAAAGAGCAAAACGGTACAAAAGTAAAATTATAAGGCAGAACTCTCTGATAAACCTATTTGTTTTACTTATTATCCGGAAGAAGTTGTTGTAATTTAAATTCGCAGATAAGCGATTTCGAAAGGTGTTTGTGTTAGTTGCTTCAGTTTTATTTTATTTCAGATCTGAAGTCTATTTTCTGAAAGAAATCAAACCACATTTGAAAAGGAGAGTGACAAAAATTACAAAATTGGCGGCAACTTTTACGGACGAGTACAGCCAACCATCAGTTTAGTCTTGTCTGAAACAATTAATAATTGTCGGGTTAGGTGCACTTATTTGTTCCAAATGAATAAAGTCACATATGAAAGATGAGAAAAAATTTGATCAAAGAAGCATTTTAAAAAAGAAGCGTTTCCGGGTGTAATTGAATGTGTCGATGGACGCCACATTTTAATTCGCTCTCAAAAATTAATACTAGAATCTGGACTTTAAAAGGAAAAGATTTTTTAGTTTAAATGCTGATTGTAACAGGTTTGTGATTATAAAATGCGAATATGTCTTAAAATATATATGTGAATATGTAAAACGAACTACTGACGTACTAAAAACAGTTTTCCATATTTGCTCGATGCTCGTTAACTTCACTCAGAGATGCTCAGCAAACACATCGATATAATTTAATATCGTATTAAAATAGCTGCTTATAAATATTGAAATATCGCAAATTATAGAGCAAATAAGATACTGTTTTGCATACTCTCAGTTAAGTTTTTTTAATATAAAAATATTAAATTTATTCGTATTCTAATTTGATTCTTATTTTTGTTATAAAATATCGTATTGAATCTTTCTTTATAGAAAGTAATACAATCGAAAATCTTTAAACTAATTCTTGCATAATAGAAGTTAATAATTACCATTGCATCGGTTAACAAAGTACAATAAAATAAAAAATTTACTTTTGCTTTAACAAAAAATGTGTTAACAAAGATATCATTAGTGATACCAGACATAACCATTTATCTAAATATTGTATATTAAAAAGGCTCGTATAGAGTAAATTATTATAAAAACCTTCAAGAATATGAACGGAAAATATCTACCAAATAGTATAATTTAATGCGGCAGAGCCTTTAATCACAGTGCAAACGTAAATCCTTTCTCTCTCATCGCTTAGGGCAGTTCAGCTGAAATAAACGTTTAGCTGCAAAGTTTAGTAATTTTTACGCAACTTTCATGCCTCCTCTCCTACGGTATTAATCCCCAGATTGTTGCGGAATGCGGAGTTGATTCCGTACCAGGGGCTCGTGCATATTACTCTTAGGGTTTTAGACTGTAGCCTTTGAATTCTACTTATACCAGATTTAGATGCTGAGTTTTAAAATTGGATTCTGTACATCCAAGAAGCCTTTATAAGCATATTAAAAGCGACACTTTTTTCTTAGCTTACTTAAAACTCCAAGTATAATTCGCAATTTTCAATTCAGTTTAAGCAATCTTTTTATCTAATGTGACTCCTAAGAAAATAACGAATTCTTTGCGTGGTCTTATATTATATTGAGGTTAGGTTAGGATAAGTATTACTCAATATCTTTAATTATCCAAGTAGTTATCCACTTCCTATTATTTTTAAACGTTGTTGTAATCTGTCTATATATGACAAGGTTTCGGTTTGTGGTAGATCGCTTGTGTAAATTAAATATAAAACGGAATCACAAATATTTCATAGGATTCAGTTGTATAACTTTTTTGCCTAACCAGAAATTGTTCTGCCAATATGAAAGCTTTTTAATATGGCGTAAATATTTACGAGAATCGTACCTCTCAGTTCAAATAGTAGTTTATCTAGCCAAACTTTATCAAATGCCTTGGCAACATAAAGGAAAACTGCAGTGCAATATTGGTTGTTTTCAACCGTTGGTATTATGTGAGTTATGATTCTATTTATCTGCTCTAAAGAGCTGTGCCTTTCTCAAAAGCCTAATTGTTGGTTTGGTTTAATCTCTTTCGATTCTAAAATCGATTGAAGATTTTGGGTAATATCGTAATCAATCTAATAGGCCTATAGGTGCCTACCAAAGTTTAGCAATCATATTAATCTCTAAGAATTCGCAGGAAAATAGATACTATTAAAGATATAGAATAAATTTTTTCTCTGGATCTTTATCGAATTCTGGAAAAGAAGTGGAATCAAGATTAGGCGTTATGCGAGAAAGATGCGAGGCAATTGAGATACCCTTCTCCTGCTCACTTCGGTACTAATTACCATCATGCGTGACAAACAACAATAAGTGATAGCGGCACACATTTAGCTTAATGAGATAAACATTGGCTCGGGCTGTGGGCATCCCAAGTTCGAATCCAATTTGGAAAAAGAAGTCTGATGAGGAAACGTGGTGGATTCCAAAACAGCAGCTATTACTTCTACCGTGGCTGAGGTATCCCTTTCAAAGCTTGAACATAGGAATAGTAATAATAATGATAACTATTACATTATCTTATCATTCATATTTGTTTTCAAATTCGTCGTAATAAAATCGTAAAATACTTGTAGAAACATCGTAACTACTTTCTCTAAAAATCTCTAAGTAACATACAAAATTTTCTACTACCAAATTTAGTGTCGACAAATGTTGCGTTCGTTTATCGCCGATTCTCTTGAAAATGGCGATAACTTTTATTTTTTAGCACATTTTGCTCAAAATGGAAAAATTTAATAAAATAAATACTCAAACTTAATAGTAATCTGTCTCTTTCAATGCTTCAAATATAAAAAGGTCAAAAAGTGCACTTTAATAAAAAAAAAAATTAACAAAAATCTAATACGACATTTCCACGACAGCCCAATAACGTGTCTCGCTCTCTCTTAATTCGGACTCCAAATACAAGCCAAATTAATTAATTCGCCGCACAAATTTTCGTGAGCAAATTACAGTAAAAGTGGGTAATTCGTTTTCATTTGCCAGCTGACAAATGAAAACAAAAGAAATGAAAATCATAAAATAAAACACTAACACACAAACCAAAGACTATTAGTATATTAAAGATACTAACTACAAATTCAACCGACAAAATCCTCGGCTACCCTCTTCACCANGACTTAGACTGATCAAACCTGTGCCTAAGCGGGGTTAGCGAACCGCTACAACAACAACAACAACAGTATATTAAAGAAGAGGAAAATTAGAAATTATTAAAGAAACTGGCGTTACATTACCAATTCCATTCAAGATTTTTTTAACTTCTACTAAAATCTTTCATTTTCCATGCGTTTTCAAATGAAAATAAATGAAAAATGAAGAACAAGCGAAACCGAGAACTGTCAAGCTGCGTTCCGTGTGAATATTACCCCCATTCGCACTCGTAATTGAGAGGACGAAAGGCCGTTTTAGACACAATATGCAATGACATTGGGATACATTTGCAAAGCCACATTACATTGAACGAGTTTCGTTTTGGAATTTTCGAAATTATGATTAAACAAACAAAATACATAGTATTTTTGTTTTTGTATTCTAGCTGCTACCCATGATGAAAACGGTGAAGTAAGTAGCATGGCACAATAATTTAAAGGTAGTTTCATTCTCTCTTCGCTGTCGGCTTCATAACTATCAGACATAAAAGGTGTTTCGACAATTTCGTGCCAGCCTCTTCTCTTATAAAAAAATCTACCATTTTTAAATAAAAAATATGTTGAGAATTTTTATATTTTTGAAAGGCTTAAGCTTTCAGAAATCACGTATTATATTGTATTTTGCAACTACTGAACTTCATCGAGTGTATGCCTTTCATGATTGTATATTACAATATTATTGCAAAAAACTATACTCCATCAAAATTTATATCTACATTTGAAAGAAAATCAGTCTCACAGTTTTATAGATGTTTCAAGGGAATTTTGTAAGCAGACAGGTTGTTGGTTTTTTTTAGAGGAGCGCAAATTAATTATGACAATCTCATAATTACGCTACAAGTCGTTCTAGTCGATTAACCGCTAAATATATTGATATTTGAAAACTTACTCTGTTAGTTATGTCAAGAAGATTCCTCTCATTTTTCCAGATGCTCAAACCACTTGGTGTATTTCACTGAAAAGCACTGAGAACTGGGCAGTGGCAGAAAAGTTGTTTAAGAAACATCCCCTCCTTCTACCATGAGTCCCTACAATCCGAGTTTCCAGGGTTTATGATTGTTCCCTAGCTCATCGGTTCTGCAATTCCCTGGGGTCGAGAAATCCTATAAGTCTTGGTTTCAAAAAAAAGTATAACAAAAAATTGCAACTGTTTTCTTTTTACTTATAACAAAATGCATCTAGCAAATTCTTCTCTTACTTTTGCCGTATATGAAAAACGGCTTGAAGCAAATATTTTAATAGATCTATACGTGCATTCAATATTCTAGCATCCACTTAGAAAATAACCCCAAAATAATTAAAAAAAAATATCTAAGTTGAAGATTTTTGAGCCTGAGCACGTTTAGTGTCAAAAATTTCGAAGCGAAACTATCTTTAAAGAATTTTGGTATTATGGTAAGTAGAGTAGAAAGACACTCTAAGACTCTGCCTT